CCACCTCAAACCTCCCCAAAACCACCTGAAACACCCTTTGGGACACCCCAAAACACCTCAGGGACCCCAAAACCTCTCAGGGACCCCAAAACCTCCGGAGGAACCCCAAAACCCCCTGAGAACCAGGATACAAACAAGTCAAAGAGAGCGGAGTCTTTGCGTCACGGTCATTGGGGCACCCCAAAACCCCCTCAAACCTCCCCAAAACCACCCCAAACCTCCTCAAACCCCCCTGGGGAACCCCAAAACCCCCTGAGGACCCCCAAACCCACCTCTCCCAGGAACCAGGCGACGAGGAAGCCGAAGAGGACGGCGTCGTTGGCCTCGCGGTCGTACCAGGGCACGCCGATGGCGCAGCTCTCCCAGAGCTCGCCCTTCCAGCGCTCCAGGCTCCAGGCCGTGGCCCCCACGTCCAGCAGCACCACGGCCGGGCTGCCCTCGATCAGCCAGCGCCCAAAATGCACCTGAACCCCAAAATTAGGGGGGTCCCCAAATCGTCAGAACCCCAAAATGTCCCTTTGGGGTCACTTTTGTTGGGTTGTGGCCCAAAAGGTGGAAATCTTAAATCAAAGTTCACCCTAAATTCTCTCTTTGGGGTGATTCCCATCAGGGAATGTCCAAAATGCACCTGAACCCCAAAATTTTGGGGGTCCCCAAATCGTCAGAACCCCAGAATGTCAATTTGGGGTCACCTTTGTCAGTCTGTACCCCAAAACAAATGGGATAAGGGATCCTAAAAATGGGACAAATGACCCCAAAAATGAAATAAATGAGCATAAAATCGAAATAAATGACCCTAAAAATGCCCTAAATGACCCCAAAAATGGAATAAGTGACCCTAAAATTGGGATAAATCACCCCAAAAATTGAATAAGAGGTCCTAAAAATGCCATAAATGACCCTAAAAACGAACTTAAGGACCCCAAAAATGCTGTAAATGACCCCAAAGATGGAATAAATGCCCCCAAAAATGGGATCAATGACCCCAAAAATGCCATAAATGCCCCCAAAATTTGAATAATTGACCCCAAAATTGGGATAATTGACCCCAAAAACGCCCCCGGAGCCCCCCTGGAGGGGCCCCCCCAAAAATTCATGCTGATCCCATAAATCCATTCCCTGACCCCATAAATCCCCCCTGACCCCATAAATCCATTCCCTGACCCCACAAATCCATCCTGACCCCATAAATCCATCCTGACCCCAAAAATCCATTCCCTGACCCCATAAATCCCCCCCAAACCCCAAAAATTCATGCTGATCCCATAAATCCATTCCCTGACCCCATAACTCCATCCTGACCCCATAAATCCCCCCTGATCCCATAAATCCATTCCCTGACCCCATAAATCCATTCTGACCGCTTAACTCCATCCTGACCCCATAAATCCATTCCCTGACCCCATAAATCCATTCTGACCCCAAAAATCCATTCTGACCCCATAAATCCATTCCTTGAATCCATAAACCCCCCCGACCCCATAAATCCGTCCTGACCCCAAAAATCCATTCCCTGACCCCATAAAACCCCCCTGAATCAAATAACTCCTTCCCTGACCCCATAACCCCATCCTGACCCCACAACTCCCTGTTTAACCCCATAACTCCCTCTCTGACCCCCCCAGGTGTGTCCCAGGTGTGCCCAGGTGTGCCCACCTTGCAGCCCTGGGCGTTCCTGGCTACACAGGTGCCCCCCAACCCTTGAGACCCTCCAGTCCCTTGACCCCATAACCTCTTCCCCGACCCCATAACTCTCTCTTTAACCCCATAACTCCCTGCTGAACCCCATAACTCCCTGTTTAACCACCCCAGGTGTGCCCAGGTGCCCCAGGTGTGCCCACCTTGCAGCCCTGGGCGTTCATGGCCCCAAACCTTCAAGATCCCCGACCCCATAACTCATTGCCCGACCCCATAACTCCCTCTTTAACCCCATAACTCCCTGTTTAACCCCCCAGGTGCCCCCAGGTGTGCCTCAGGTGTGCCCAGGTGTGCCCAGGTGTGCCCATCTTGCAGCCCTGAGCAATCCCAGTGTTCTGGGTGCCCCTCAACCCTCCAGTGCCCCGACCCCATAACTCATTGCCCGACCCCATAACTCTCTCTTTAACCCCATAACTCCCTGTTTAACCTCCCCAGGTGTGCCCAGGTGCGCCCAGGTGTGCCCAGGTGCCCCAGGTGTGCCCACCTTGCAGCCCTGGGCGTTCCTGGCTCCCCAACCCTTGAGACCCTCCAGTCCCCTGACCCCATAACTCCCTCTTTAACCCCCTAACTCCCCCCCAGGTGTGCCCCAGGTGTGCCCAGGTGTGCCCAGGTGTGCCCAGGTGCCCCAGGCGTGCCCACCTTGCAGCCCTGGGCGTTCATGGCAGCCAGCGTGCGGCGCAGGGCGGGCTGCGGCGGCTCCAGCAGCTCCACCTGCGTGCGCACGGCGCTCTCCACGTAGGGCCCCACCAGCACGTAGCTCTCGCCCCACTCGTCGGCCGTCACCCGCGCCTTGGTCTGCAGCACCGTGTAGATCCCCCCCACTTTTGGGGGGCAACGGGGTCAGGGGCACCCCAAATTTATCCTAAATAGCCCCAAAATCCACCCCAAAGTTACCCTGAATGGCTGGGATCAACCTGGGTACCTGGGACCCCCCAAATCCCAACCCTGACACACCTGGGACCCCACAGCTCAGTCTCAGGGCAGCACCGTGTAGATCCTCCCCACTTTGGGGGGAAACGGGGTCAGAGGCACCCCAAATTTATCCTAAATCCATCCTAAATAGCCCCAAAATCCACCCCAAAGTTACCCTGAATGGCTGGGATCAACCTGGGTACCTGGGACCCCCAAATCCCAAATCCTAGACACCTGGGACCCCTGGTAGCACCGTGGAGATCCCCCCAACTTTTGGGGGGCAAGGGGGTCAGGGACACCCCAAATTTATCCTAAATAGCCCCAAAATTCACCCCGAATTCACCCTGAATGGCTGAGCCCACCCCAAATACCTGAGAACCCCCAAATCCCAACCCTGACCCCATGGGTCGCTCTCAGGGCAGCACCGTGGAGATCCCCCCCACTTTGGGGGGGTAACGGCGTCAGGGGCACCCCAGATTTATCCTAAATCCATCCTAAATAGCCCCAAAATCCACCCCGAATTCCTGGGAACCACCTGAGCCATCCTGGGTACCCAGGACCCCCAAATCCCAAATCCTAGACATCTGGGACCCCTGGTAGCACCGTGTAGATCCCCCCCACTTTGGGGGGCAAGGGGGTCAGGGACACCCCAAATTTATCCTAAATAGCCCCAAAATCCACCCCGAATCCATCCCAAACAGCTGGGACCACCTGGGTACCTGGGACACCCCAAATCCCAACCCTGACCCCATGGGTCGCTCTCAGGGCAGCACCGTGGAGATCCCCCCCACTTTGGGGGGCAACGGGGTCAGGGGCACCCCAAATTTATCCTAAATCCATCCTAAATAGCCCCAAAATCCACCCCGAATTCCTGGGAACCACCTGAGCCATCCTGGGTACCTGGGACCCCCAAATCCCAAATCCTAGACACCTGGGACCCCTGGTAGCACCGTGGAGATCCCCCCAACTTTTGGGGGGCAAGGGGGTCAGGGGCACCCCAAATTTATCCTAAATAGCCCCAAAATCCACCCCGAAT